AGAGGATGCTCTACACCTGGAACAACGGCCACCAGGTGCTCTACAACGTCACGCTCTTCCACGTGGTGGGCGCCGCCGGCGAGCTCTGAGGGGCGTCGGCACAGGGAGGACGCGCGGGAGTTCGGGGGTCAGGCGTCCCGCGCTTCCACTCGTGGGCGTGGATGAAGGGAGAGAAAATTCCGGAATTTTGGGTTTATGGCTTCCACTCCTGGGCGTGGATGAAGGCAGAGAAAATTCCGGAATTTTGGGTTTATGGCTTCCACTCGTGGGCGTGGCCAAGGGGAGAGAAAATTCCGGAATTTTGGGTTTATGGCTTCTCCTCTTGGGTGTGGACGAAGGGAGAGAAAATTCCGGAATTTTGGGTTTATGGCTTCTCCGCTTGGGCGTGGATGAAGGGAGAGAAAATTCTGGAATTTTGGGTTTATGGCTTCTCCTCTTGGGCATGGACGAAGGGAGAGAAAATTCTGGAATTTTTGGTTTATGGCTGCTCCTCTTGGGCCTGGCCAAAGGGACAGAAAATTCTGGAATTTTTGGTTTATGGCTTCCACTCGTGGGCGTGGACGAAGGCAGAGAAAATTCCGGAATTTTGGGTTTATGGCTTCCACTCCTGGGCATGGACGAAGGGAGAGAAAATTCCGGAATTTTTCATTTCCACGCTTCTCCTCTTGGATGTGGCCAAAGGGACAGAAAATTCCGGAATTTTGGGTTTATGGCTTCACCTCTCGGATGTGGCCAAAGGGACAGAAAATTCTGGAATTTTTGGTTTCTGGCTTCCCCTCTTGGACGTGGCCAAGGAGAGAAAATTCCGGAATTTTTGGTTTATGGCTTCCACTCGTGGGCGTGGCCAAAGGGAGAGAAAATTCCGGAATTTTTGGTTTATCGCTTCTCCTCTTGGACGTGGCCAAGGGGAGAAAATTCCGGAATTTTTCCCTTCCGCGCTTCCCCTCCGCCGCCGGCTCCATTCCGGAGGGACGCGAGGATGAAATTCCCATTTCTCACCCCAAACTCAAACTCTGCTTTATTCCCATTATTTCGCACCGATGTCGTGTTTCCCCCCGTTTTCCCCTATTTTTAAATATTTTTTTCCCACTTTTATCTTTCCCCTTTTTTTTCCGCACCGATGTTGCATTTCCTCTTTTTTCCCCTATTTTTAAATCTTTTTTCCTCTTTTTTAAACTTTTTTACCTCTTTTCTTTACATTTTCCCCCTATTTTTTCTCTCTTTTAAAATATTTTTCCCTCTTTTTTCCCTTTTTTTACCTTTCCCCCCTCTTTTTTTACCTTTTTTCCCTCTTTTAAAATCTTTTTTCCCTCTTTTTTTCCTTTTTTCCCTCTTTTAAAATATTTTTTCCTTTTTTTAATCTTTTTTCCCTCTTTTTCCCTCTTTTTTTACCTTTTCCCCCTCTTTTTTTTACCTTTTTTCCCTCTTTTAAAATCTTTTTGCCCTCTTTTTTCCCCCTCTTTTTTTCCCTCTTTTAAATTTTTTTGCCCTCTTTTTTCCCCCTTTTTTTGCCTTTTTTCCCTCTTTTTTTTTCTATTTTTCCCCCTTTTTATCCCTTTTCCCCTCTCTTTCCCCCCTTTATTTCCATTTTTTCCCCCCAGCTCACTGGATATTTTTTTTTTTCCCAATTCTGCGATTTTTCTCCCCTCTTTTTCCTCCTTCTCCTTGGCTCTTCCGGAATTCCATCGGATTCATGGCGCATGGAGCTGCTCTGCCTT